CCCCGTTTTTTTTTTTTAATGTCAATGTAAAGCTAAAACAGGAAGGGATAAGTTAAATACCTTGTCTACACAAATCCACAGACTCTTAACAGCCCCACTCTGTGACAGCCACTCTCTGACTGCTCCTGGAAGTAGCAATAGTGATTTCCTTTCTCCTGTGCTGTCTTTTCCTGAATCCTGCTTTCTAATGCTAATCGGAAGGGACTAGTTCTTGGGTCCGCTTTTGTAGTGAGCTCATGGAGTTGTACGGTAGAGTCTGCGATCCACACAGAGCCTTGGATCAGCCTGCCAGACCACATGAAATCCAGAACTGCTCTGAAGTCCTCCTAGGTTTTTCTTTGGCTTCATGAATGCACAAACACCAACTTGTGTGATGCTGCCAGATGTATGACATGACAAATCTGCAGCGTTCTGGAGTGAACTGCCCCTGGCTGTCCTTTTGGGGCCTTAGCTCTTATTACAAATCAAAATTTCAAGTCATGCTTCCCTGTAACATCAGAGCTGTAGCTATTTTGTCACAGTTCTGCTAGAATCGTTCAAAAGTTACGAAGAACAGCGTGTCTGGAGATTGCTTCTTGTTGTAGGCCCTCATCTTTTTGCTGTGCAGTTGCTGGTAAGGATGTCAGAAGAGCCTGACACAGTGTGTTAGCTCTAGAAGCTGTGTTGGAATGATTATTCATGGCAAGGTGGAACAGCAGTGCAACATAAATTTTCAACTGCTGCGAATCAAGTTTTATAGGGGTGTCTTGAAGCTGAGATTCCACTGCTGAGCCTGGACCAGGACCGAGTGGATAATTCCCCCAGTGTGCATGAGCAGGATCTGGAATAAGCATAGATAGGTGTTAATGAGACACATGTAATCACTGTAACGAGTCACAGTATTTTCTAGAGAAATTCCTGTAGCGTAAACCTCCCTCAGAATGCCGTTCCAGTGGCCTCTGTGTTTGGTATTTTCAAACTCCTGATCTTTTTCCCCATTTCCTCCCCCAAAACAAGTGAAAGAAACAGCCTTATTGGTTTATAAAAGTCTAGTTACTCAGATGTTGGCATCTTCCAGAAATGTTCCTGGGTTGGGATGCAATGGGATAAACTTTCTTTGCTATCAGTTAGCTGTACTTAGAGAAGACTGATTTACAAAGAAGAAAGGCTCTTTACATCTGAGTCCGTTTTGACTAAAGACTCGGTTTGTTGACTGAACTGTCTTCCTGTGCAGGAAGCAGAAAAGGCGATCCAATGTCTCAACGGGAAGCTGGCCCTTTCCAAGAAATTGGTGGTGCGGTGGGCACATGCACAAGTCAAGGTAAGCTGCTTGTGTGAATAAGGACTGCTTTTAATTTGCAAAATTAAAAAATTTTAATAGTAAGGAACAATTCTTATCAAGGCTATCTTAGCCTGGTAAGATAATTTTAGCCTGTTTTAGGAAATAACTCTCATAGGAACAGTATGAACAATCTGCTACTTCTCCTGTCTACCTAAACCGTGCTGGGTTAGCTGTGAGTGAGAATAGGCCGTTTAACCTGATGTTCTTTGTAAGGGCGTTTCTGATCAGAGCGGTATGAACGGATTACTTCTATAAATGTCCACATCTTAACTTTTCCCAAACTTAACGAGGGATTGGCTGAAAGTTTGTATCCTTCCTTTTTGTGGTTTCGCTCCCTTTTTGGATGGGAGATGTATGGAAATTTGCAATTACCAAGTACTTTGTTGCGTTGTTCCACTTCTGAAAGCACTTATGTGGCAGCAGCTCTAATTACTTCTGACTTTAAAGCAACATATTTCACATCTAAGCTAAATACCTTTTTATTGCTTGCTCTGTTGCACAAAACATCAAGTTTTTAACACTAACTTAGGCAGTACCTTCTGGAACATCCTTTTTAAATTTTTTTTTTTTAATTCTTGTTTCTTCTGCAGTTATTTACTGCCTGGTATTTGATAAAGCAATTTATTTTGAATAATTTTCTTTGCAGATAAATGGATTTTGGGGGAGGCGGGGGGCGGGAGCTTCTTGTTGCTGTTTTCCTTTGGATAGCTTGCTTTTAGCATGTGTTGCATTATCCTACAAGCAGCTTTCTACCCTCTTTCTTATCGAGTATACTAGTTTTGGATGCTAAAGAAAAAGCCAAAACAGGTATCTTCGTTAGAGGAGACCATCTTGTTTTAATTATTGGCTTCAAGGGCTTCAGGCTCTTTCCAGCACATCCAAGCTTGTGCAAATCCAGTCTCCATTTTCTCTAGCTCTGTAGCTACTAGAGCACCATGTGCTTCCGGATGCCTGAAGAATGATCAGGCCATAAAAGGAGTTTCAGCCAGAGGAGTGAGTGTCTGCTCAGCTGGGAGTTCAGCGGGGTAGCTCAGTGCTTGGCTGTCTGGGGTATGGTGAAGAACATGCATAAATAATCAGTTCAGTTTGCCTGGCATTTTCTGATCTGTGAATGGAAAGATTTAACAACACAAAACTTTGGCTTATTGTAACAAGTGTTTGGTTTAGACAATACCAGCACCATGCTAAGTAGTTTTAAGATGAGTGGCCAAGGCTTACCAGACGCTGTCAGTTTGAGCAGCTCTGCTGAAAAACAAACCTGACTTTGTGCCAAGCGAAATAAGGAAGCAGAACACTGCGAATAGTTCAGGAGGCCCATTGCCCACAGAGATGACAGACTCACAAGCTGCTTTCTACAGAAAGGAGGTGGTTCCTAACTGGTCTCTTTTTTTAATTTTCTTTTCTCCCAGCGCTGCCCGATTCTGTGCAGTCCTGTGCTTGGGTTACCTTCTGACTCTGCACAGTGTCTGTATAAAGAGCATAGCAATACAGTACAGGCGTTAACCTTAAAATTTACCATCTTTACTTCATGCCTTATATTGAAGGGAACAAGAAGTTATAACACAGGATAAGGTTTAAGGATCCGTAGTACAATGCACATAAGTGTTCGGTATCGGGGTCTACGTTCCATATTGGTACAAAACAAATATTATCGTTGGGATTTGTTTCAGTGTTTGGCCACCAAACTCATTCCTAGCAAAAGCTTTACAAAATCTGAGGTGATGTTAATACAACTTTAAAGTGTATCTGTGGGCAAATGTTTCTTTGTTCGTAATTCTAGCTGGACTTCAATCTTTGGTCTCTTGTTTGCAGAGATATGATCACAATAAAAATGAGAAGATCCTTCCGATCAGTCTGGAGCCATCTTCCAGCACAGAGCCGCCCCAGTCTAACCTAAGGTAGGAGGTGGGGTGGGTGAGAGACGACCAAACTGTGGGAGTGGCAGGGAACTAACTTCTTCGATAAGATCTGGAGTTGTTGGCATTACCTTTGTGCTAAAAATATAACGTGGCAGAAGAGCTGTATTTAGAAGGGCAGCATTTGATGTAACTGATTTGAAGTAACTTGTTTGATGCAGGACACTTCAGACTCAAAGTTCATTTTCTAACGTGTGAAGCTACTAGGGCAGTAGGAAGGAAAAGAGGTGAGGAAAGGAACTGGGAATGTGTAACACTCCAGCTCCTTTGGCCAGAACATGCTTCGCACGTCTTCATATGAGTTTCAGTGAGAGGCTTTGTACTGTACTAATTTGATTAAGCAAAGTGCTTATGAGCAAGAATTTCTACTATAGTGGCAAAAGATTAAAACAAAATCACAAGGTAGTATTTCACATAAAG